TTAAAGCAGTCAGTCAATTCAAATCAAACCAATCTCAAATCAAACCCAACCCCAACACATTCACAACACTTTTAGAGGAAAAACTGAAAGATAAAGGACATTTAATCCTACTTTGCTTGCATCCTTTGCAATTCACAAAAAAATCCTTGAATGCAAAAGTCTGGTGAGAAATTTTTTTGCAAAAAAATGTGAAAAAAGATAAAGACAAGAAGCATTTACATAATATTTGCCTCCCCAATGGATATATGTAACAAGCACATCACCATCAATCGAGAAATGCGTCACTGACGAGAGTGGGACACGATGTTCATACTCTTTCACTTCTTTCTGCAAAATGAATAAAGTACTGTACTTGTGAAGTTTAAGATTTCACTTTGCACTTACGAAAAGAGAACTCTTCTTCTGACAAGTATATTTAAGAAAATATTCATCGATCAGACATTAATCAATAAACCGATCAATCAATTAATTGATTTACTGATTGCTTAATTTTGGGATTTATAATTAAGATGTTCCCATTCTTCGAATTTTCTTTTAAAAAATGAATGCAGTATTTGTAAATAATAATTTTTATTATGCACAACAAAAAGATTTCATTTGCTTTTAGTATATCATTTTCATTTTATTAAGGGAAAATAAATGAATCATCTATTTGGACATCACTTCGTACAGGAAGTGATATAATTCCAAAAAAATCGTAATGATTCACTGCATTATTTTTCTTATCGATCATTTTTCTTACTTTCATATAGTGCTTTAATGTGAAGCATTAGAGTCTAATTAAAGTCAGTGAATGATGTACTAAAAGCAAATGAAATCTTTTTGTTGTGCATAATTCCGTATCATGCACATTATTCTAATTTCGCCTTAATATTGCATCATCGCATTACTTCTATATCGAATGCAGTATAGAAGATAGTAAAGTGATAATGCAATTACTCATTTTGATCTATTATATTTCCTAACTTAAATTGGGAGAGTTATGACTTCGTATTTAAAATAAATTATCATGAAACAGACGGTGATAATATGAATGAAGCACAAAATGAAATCTGAAGAGAAAATCTCCAAGCCAAATTAGTACTTTAAAAAACTTCAATTCTGCCTAATCACTGCTTCAAAACTTAGTTACCTGGTCAACATAGATTGTATATTTACTGTCATGTGCACGAATTCGAATATCGACGTCATCTCCTTTTTTGTAAGGATTACTTTTTCTTTCTTCTTTGCCCCATTCCCCTTTACTGAATGTGTTGAACACAATCTGCAAAAAAAATTATCAATATTAATCTTGAGAGAAAAATCCTTATTCATTTATGTAAATGTAATTCCTAGCAGAATTCACTTTCACTGTTCCTCTTAATATTATTATCTATATACAACATTACACTAAGTGCACTTCCTACTACTACAAACCATTATATTGTTTTCTTTCATAAATTTTTTGCTTTAAATCTGAAACCAAAATACAGCCTTGTTATTTTTACCTTTTTTCCTCATTATATATTCTTTCCATCATTCATTATAATAAACATCTTCAATTCTATTATCCAAACTTCAACCTCTTCCCCCACAATTTAAATGAAAACATGATAAGATAGCATGATCATGATATGATATATTGGATATAATTATCAACGAACTATTAACCTTCCCCTCATCAAAACGCACGGATATATGCAACGGAACATCATTGCCGCTAAAATCCGCCGAAGCATTGTGTAAATTTATCGTGAATCTGCAAAATCACTATTTATAATATGAATAAAAAATGAAATTACAATTGTATTTTTCTATTTAAAATTCCATTTTTACAAAAATTTCTTTCCAGATTGTAAAATGATATGATACCCTTTTTTTTCATTAAATCACTGAAACTACTGAATCAAGCAGTGCAAAGAAATGCATGCTGGACAACAAAAACATAAAACAGATTTGGTTCTTACATACTAAACTCTTTGATTTAATCTATCTGCAAGTTTATGGAATAAAAATTTTTAGATTAATTATGAATGAAAAGTTGTGCTGCACATGACAAGATAGTATCTTATATGTATTTACCGGACTGTTCAGCAAAATTAGGTCAAGAGTAATGGTCACAAGAATTAGTATAAAATGAAAAATGTAATATTATAGAGTTTCTGATGACTGCAATCATTTCAAGCTTTATATTCAGGCCTAAGACGTTACATTACAGTAATTATTATTTATTCATTTAATCTCGGGTATCGTCTAAATATTCTGCAGTTCGAGTAGCCTCCAGAAAATTCCATGTGTCTTATATGTATTAATCAGACGATTCAGCAAATTAGGTCAAGGGTAATGGTCAACATTCCAACATATTTTCTTCGGATTACATGATCACCCGAGATATATGTATCACTTTAAACTGTTTTGTAACCAAATATATAAATTATGAATATTTCAAAGGCGGAAATGATTGCAAGACTTTATCACGAATCTAAAAACTCAACTGATCATTGTGCCCGCAATAGCAAGTGAGAGAAATTCGAGGAACAATAAAACTTAAATTACATCGATGTATAACAGAATTAGAGATAGCATGTTGCTGCCATTTATATTAACAAGGATGAAAATGATGTGATACCTGACAGAATCTTCTGCCGTTTTGCCTTTTACCAAAAGCGTTTGTCCGGGCTCAAACGATTCAGTTAACTTACTTCGGTACGGCACCGGCTGAAGAACGAGATTTGAATTTCACAAGCTTGAAAATATTTTCAAAAGCTAACTAAATATTAAGTTAACAAACAGAAAATGATATATGTTTAAAATGTCAATTTAGAGTAGAAACAATACTGAAAAATTGAGTGGGAATGAAGATTATTAGTTTTTTTTAACTGTAAAAAATCGAATAGGAGACTGCAACGAGGAAATTCCTGAACATCACTGTTAGAATAATCAAGAAATTCTGGAATGTGCCAAACTCCTCAATGTAGAAATTCTGCAACTTTATTCATCAGCAATGAAGCTTCGACAAAACTTTCATTCTATGTCGTCCTTCTACCTTTTCCTTCCATCTTCTCTTCCTCTCATTTCCTATTCTAGGGGGATCTTGGAGAATCTCCAAACCATTTAGTAAAATTTAGTATTGAAAATGAAATGAAACCTTGACACTCCAATATAATTTAGAATTCAATTAAGCATCATCCCATTGCAATAATAAGATTTAAAAAAAGGAAGGAATAAGCTTAAATGGAACAACTTCTTAATGATTCGTTTTTACAATGCAAAAAAATAAATTTGAACAAACCATATTATTCACTCCAACAACAAATAAACTAATTAAGCTCATTTGTGGCAACGTGGTTATATTAGTCAAGTAATACTAATTTTCAAAACTTATGAGATAAGAAGCAAGTTTGTTTTAATATGATCTTCGAATTTGAGTTATACAGTGCTGATTTTTTCAGTATACCCATCGAATCTAGATTCTTTTTAACAGCCTCATCCGAATAGATTTTTTAAACTTAATTTCCTAAAATCGTAAAGCTCTTTTCTAAACTTCTTAAATGTAATACCTTATGATTTCTAACTATGGAAGTGGATCTATAAAATTCAGGAAAAAGAATTTCAAAAAATTAGCTTCTTAATTTTATATTGATGTAATACAATGCATACGCTCTGATTTTCAATTCAAACATTGTTTAAATGGTTTAAACGACCTTTGAGTAGAAAGTCGGATCAGAGGCATGATGAAATTTTTGAATCCGAATTATAGAAAATGACTGTAAGGACAAATTTTAGGTATGAATTAATTTAAATTTAAAGCATAATATTGATCTTAAATTTATATTCTATAGTGCAGAGACAGCATTTTTTTAAGAAAAACCACTGGCATATAAAAAATTAGGTAAAACTTACATAATTCGTTTCATATTCATTGGCCATAATTCCGATCTTGCTATAAATGAGCGGTGATGCAGCTAAAAATATTTCAAATTCAAAGAAGAAAGCAAAATATTTCAATTCAGAAATCGCTAACAATCTGTAAAAATTGCTACCATTTCAGATACAAAAAAAAACGACAAAAGATTGCAAACATGCTAGAAGAAAACAATAATGTTGTACTTTGATTTATCTTTGATTTGTCGATTATTTACATAAAAAATAAATTAATATGAGCTCCAATCGAGATATTTTATAATTGGCTGAAAATTCTTGTCGCTGCTTTTAGCGATAAAAATGCATTCTGATATGTTGCAAAAAAATTTTATTTCTGTGGGAAAAAAATGCTTTTAATAAAATGCAAACGTTGCTAAAATAGTTTTGGACATTCAAAAGCATTATGAATTTAAAATTGTGCAACCATTTATAATAATTACCTCATCATTATAGTTATATTATAGTGATAACATCAGTGATAAGAGTGTAGAAGGTAACGATGATAACTGACCTAAAGGCTCCAATAATGTAAAAAGCTTCTGCCTTATTACTGTTTCCTTATTTGCACATTGTTCTGCGCCGTTGCAAAATGAGCATCTGGCTATTCGAACATGCATTTTAAATGTCAACCCGGTGCTTATCTAGATTTTTATTTGTTACTGATCTCTTCAAACAGTATTTTGATTGACAATGAAAATAAACCAAAAATTTTGACTTATTTGTTACACTTAAAAAATCTCTATTAACTGTT